AATACATAATAATTATATAGTCAAATTTCAGTTCGTTTAAAATTTAAGAATTTAAGAACTCGTCTACACTATAGAAACATTCCTCAAGTAAGAATTCCTTAGCCAGACTCTTTAGTTTATTATTCGAGAGGTTGTTAATAATGATGTTTGAGTGATGAGCTTGAAAACAGTTGTATATTCTAACATCTAGCTTATTGTTCTTAGTGATCAATAATCTTGAGGCTGGGGGAATAATACTGTTTGCATTTCTGGTATTATAGGTATGCAAATCGGCTTGTATACTGAATGAATGAATAATTTATTTACAATATTTACATATGTACAATTTACATCTACATCTACATGTACGTTATATCGTTTTACTTCGCCCCTGTCCTCCAGCCTGGGCAGGAGAAATATGGGCGTCGTATCGACCCGCAATCATGAATATAGAGTGTTTTCTATTTGTTGATCTGTACTATGTCATCTCCTTATTCCGAAAAATATTATATGACATTTATGGCTGTTTAGTTAGCGTCGGTAATGGAACTTTTTGTCATAGATTTGTCTGTTGTTAGTTATGTATTTATTTCCCTGAAAAAGGCTAAGAAAAAACAGGGTTGTCTTTATATGTCGGTTTGTCCGTATAGTTTATGGCTAATTTGTCCTAATTCGTGGATTACACGGTGTTATCGTCCATCTAGGCAGCGAAGAATTTCGCCGATTCGATTTTCGATTCACCGTGCAGTCCACCGTCCGACCAGATTTTACGGCTAGTCGGCTTGAATTAGGACAATTAGTATTGTTGTCGCAGGGTAAAGTCTGTATATGTTTGTGTGTGTATTACGTCTCAAACTTGTCTGTATATTGTCAGTGCTTTGTGGAGACATCCATGCTTCCTATGCGCGCTGTTTGCCTCGTTGATGTTAAGTATGTCTTCCTTTATGTTTGGAGGAAGACTATTTTTGTAGAATCTCTCTGAGATTTTTAAGATGTATTCTCTAATAGTTGGCATGGATGTCTCTCTGTGCATGTCCGTTATCCTGGAATAGCGGAGCCACCCCAAGGACCGCCTCAGACAACTGTTCTGTACTACCTGGAGCTTATTGAAGTGACTTTCTGTCATGGAACAGAAGGCTTGGCACCCATAAGTCAGTATTGGCCTTATTACTTGTCGATAAAGCAAGATTTTATTGTCGCGACTTAGATGGTTGCCACGTCTAAATAGTGGGTACAACGTTCTTATTGCAGTATTGGCTTTTGCCACCCTATCCTCTATATGTTTTCGGAATGTCAATTCCCTATCCAGACGCACACCTAGATATTTAATTGAGTGCTGAGATTCGATTACCTGATCTCCGATCTTAAGCTTATTATGTATTAATCGCGATCTTCCTGTACGCTTTTTCGTGAGCATCAGGCTCTCGGATTTCGCAGCATTTAATCTCATCTTGTTGGCGTCCAAATAAGGAATTAACGTTCTATTTATGTGTATATCAAGCCTCCTGTTCGCGACTTCAGCCAGCTCCGAAGTTTTGTACACACAGGTATCGTCAGCGTACAGTGCCGTCTGTACACCATTAGTACCCATGGGCATATCATGGGTCATAATCGTGTACAGATGCGGCGAAAGTACTGAACCCTGAGGTACCCCCGCCATTGCATTGAATGGTCCTGTGATTGTATCGTTGATTTTAATGTTAAATGTTCTGTCCTGTAGGTATGATTGAATCGTTTTTACAATATAAACAGGAAATTCATTTATAAACATTTTGTAGATAAGTCCACAGGTCCAGACGGTATCGAAGGCCTTCTCTGTGTCTAAGGCGACCAGTACGGTTACTTTTTGATTATTAAAGGCTTCTTTTGCCTGATGGGCAATTCTGATTACTTGTGCAACCGTACCGTGTCCTTCGCGGAAACCGTACTGTTCCTGTGGAATTATTTGTTTGTCGTTTTCAATTACGCGTAATTTGTTTAATATTATCATGTCTATTGTCTTCGTCAGTGAGTTAAGAAGGGATATGGGACGATAGCTCTCAATATTTTTCGCGGCTTTCCCGGGCTTTTTGATTGGTATGATATTTGCGACCTTTAGTTGTTTAGGGTAGTGCTGTAATTTAAATAGTGCATTTATGATATGGTGCAGCTGTACTACCGCTTTTTTGGAAATATTTTTAAGCATGAGTCCAGATATCCCGTCTGGACCCGGTGCCTTCCTATTTTTCAATTTACTAATTACCGCTTTTACCTCGTTCGGCGTAACCCTCTGATTTGCCGGTACGTTTGCTCTGGGGCTTGTATACTAAATTTGTCTAAGTTGTTATGTATAGCCAATAGAGTTTCTAGTATGAAAACACACGGTAGTGGTAGTATACGAAGACTCTTGAAGAGAGGACGGCAATGCGCTGTATAATCAGCTGCTGCCACAATGCGCACGGCAGTCTTTTGCACTACGAAAGCCTTAATAGCTGTGCTAGCATTTCCCCATAATAATATAGCATATGTAAGCAGACTATGTATTAATGCAAAGTATACTGTTTTTAATCCTGTTCTATTTAGAAAAGATTGCATCTGCCTAAGTGCAAATACTTGCGATGATATTCTAGAACATAATATGTCTATATGCTGAGCCCAGCTTAAACCAGCATCAAGAGTTACACCTAGTAATTTGACAGGTTCATCTTTCTTCACTAGCTTACTTGAAGTGAAGACAATATGTTGATTCTTTTCCTCATTCAGTTTTAGTTCATTTGAGTTGAACCAAACTTTTGCCATTGAGACACAGTCATTATTTAAAAACTCGCAGTCTTTGGTCAATATGGTTGTGTCATCAGCAAATATTAATGTAAAGCCATGTTCGACTGCTTTTGGCAAATCATTTATATATATATTATAAATAACAAGGGTCCCAGAACAGATCCTTGTGGAACTCCTCTATTTGTGTGTTGTATCGAGGATTCTGTGTTATTGAAACATACATATTGCCTTCTATCAGCTAGATAGGATGATAATAGATTTAACTCCTTACCGCGAATACCGTAATATTCAAGTTTTGAAAGAAGTAACTCTATATTAACGCAGTCAAATGCCTTGGTCAAATCGCACAGAGTTGCAGTTGTACTGGTACCTTCATCACAGTTGATCTTCCCTTTCTAAACCCGAATTGCGATGGAGTAATTATGTTCTTATATTCAAAATAACTAACTAATTTATCTTTTAATAAGATTTCGAAAACTTTGCCAATTATAGGGACAATAGCTATTGGTCTGTAATTATCAGTAATATTTGGATCGCCTTTTTTGTGCACTGGCAAAATTTTACTGATTTTTAAACCATTTGGCCAGATACCATCAGATATACATTTGTTGTAGAAGGTTGTAAGCGGCTGAACAATACTGTAAAGTGAAATTTTTAGCATAGCACCATTTAATCCGTAGTAATCCAAACAATTTGAACTTTTCAGCCGTAGGATGGCTCCCCTAACATCGATATCCAAAATTGGTGACATAAAAAAAGAGGTTTGAGGTTTTGGCAACCTATTTATATAAGTGCCTGTATCCATGCTATTATTGTTGATTATGGGAGTAATTTTATCAGCTATCGTGGTGAAAAATGTGTTTAGCTCATCAGATGTAAGTGTTGATGATATTTTGTCAACTTTATAAGTTTGCCTCTCCGCATTGACAATGTTCCACACAGTCCTATTTTTATTTTCTGATTTACCAATTATATCGGTGCAGTAGTCACGTTTCCTTTGTTTGATCGATTTTTTGTATTTTTTTTGTTGGAATTTATATGTACACCAATCTTCAAAAGAATTTGTCAGATTAAATCGAGATTTAGCCAGAAATACTTCGTTACGCTGGCTTTTTAGCTCATGGTCATACCACTCAAATCCCTTTGTTCGTGTACGACAAGATTTTATAGGGAAACATATTTCACATTGTGTTTTTAATGTAAGTAAAATATTTTTACACATATTCTCAGGCTGTAATGTATCTAACTCTAAACCTTGCCAATCTAAACTATTTACTAACTGAGCAAATTTTTCAAGTGATTTGTCATTTATAACTCTCTTTTTGATATTATTGTTATTTTTGTTAGTATTAATAATATTTCTAATGCACATATAAATACCATGATGATCACTTATATCCAAGTCCAAAACTCTAGTTGAAAAAGCGTTGCTATCTAAATTTGTTAAGACGTTATCTAGTTTCGATTTGGAGTTAGGTGTAATACGCGTGGGATCGTGTATAAAATGTTTCATACCAAACATGGCTATAATATTACAAATACATTACAAATGAAACCGACTGAGCGACTTGTCTAGGGGAAGGGACGGTTATTATTTTTGTTTGCCGCGGTGCTCCGGGGACTTAAAGATGATTGATGGCGCCATTTGACTTACAGGCGGGAAAAACCCGAAAAACCTCACCCATAATCATCGAAAACGGTAACGCATAGCGATTTTTATAATCTGGATGTCATATCAACAGAAATTAAATTTCTGCTAATACGGCATCCATCAAATCCTATAGAGAACCATGCCAATAAATTCACATGGTCTTACGTTGAATTCGAAACCTGTGTCTGTTTTACCACAAAATTGGCTCGCAAATGAATGCGGCGTCGTAGACACCTACGCTAACGTAAAATGTCACTAATGTTTAACCAAAACATAATTTTAGTCAAAATTAGAGAAACTATTGTATGTAATACGTTACGAAATGCCGTTTTATATTTCATGTTCATGTTGCAGGACCTCGCTCTGCTCTTCTTGCAAATATTCACTCGTGACATTTCGCAACTGGTTTCATAAATAGCTATTACAGGATAGTTTAATAAATACACCCTTACCCAATAGGTCATATTGACAGCCAAATTTTAAGCGCTGTTTTTTCTGTCCGCAGCCCTGACTACGTCATTTTTATGACCAGTGGTACGCTGATTATCACATGTTCCCACTCTTTCTATTTTCTATCTGTTAGTTGACCACATGTATTTCTTAATTTTAGAACACTTCTAAAGAAAGTAGTTGGTGCGCTTGTTGAAGCTAGAGACATATGTTTGCATCTCAAAGTATTTATGCCTTATGCCGCTTATTTTGATGGCGATTTTTTTGAAATGGACAAGTTGATCAAACCATTACTTCACGTTATGGCTCTTCTTTGGGTAAATTCAAAGTATTATTCCACTAGCGAAAGAATTGTAAATTTATTCAGGATGATCACCAATTCTTTTCTCGCTTCTGCCGAGATAGCACTCGATCCAGGAAATATGTTTGCTGGAGATGCCGAAGAAGTTCATAAAGTAGTTACGAAATGTATAAAACAGTTGTATAAATACATGGATTGGTTTGAATATGTAAGAAATAATTTAGACAATTATTATAAGGATGAAAATGAACCCAGAAAGGTAAGATTCGTTATAAAATAGAAAAAAAAAAATGTATCGAAATAGCGCCCAACCAAATAGCGCCTACTCAAAATGGCGCGTATCGAAACAGCGAGCGTCTGTATAAAATAATGTTTATGAAAATACCGCTAGTCAAAAAATCACCCGAACTAAACAGCGCTGGAGCCATCGCGGGTTGCTTCGCAAAAAATTATACATGAAATGAAAAATTAAAAAAAACATGTGCGTGAGAGATCTTTTTTTTTTAATAATTTTGGGTAAAAAAAATGCGCTAGGGGCTGTTTCGTTCAGGCGCTAGTTCGTGACAGAGCCATAAATTTAATATTTAAAGTTTACAATGTTCAAAATTTGAAAAGGCAATGTTTAGGGCTGTAATATATTTAATTAATTGAATTATTTAAGGCTTGGAATTTCCATAGAAGACAGGTTTTCCAGCGTGTACTAGATTTTATCGAACGAGTAGAAGTAGTCGATAGAGTCGTTCAAATTCAAATCGAATATGTCAAGCTGGACAGAATTGAACTTGGCGGTTTGAGAGCAAGAACATTTGGAGCAAAAATTGCGGAAATGAATGACGAATTCACCGCGCTTTATCAACCGTTTGGAAGCATTTCATATGACATACTGGATTTGGAGGATCATCGTATAGTAGAAGAGTGTACGCAGTTTGAAGAAAAAGTTAAAGATTTGGATATAAGATTACTGTCAATACTTAGTAACTCATTTGAGGACTGTATTAACTTGGATGCCATTTTTAAATTTGTTTTAATAACTGGAGTTCTAATGAAACGACCGTTAATCTACGAAGCGATGAAACCGAAACTTCAAATTATTATCGATTTGTTCAATGAGGAACTCGTTAAAGTCAAGGTTTTATTCGATGATGGTAAGTACATTTTTTCTACATGAACGGTAAATCGGTATTATTCTCCTCTTTTTGAGAATAAGTCGTACTCGGCTTACGACCCGACCCGACTATATTTCCCATTCGTGTGAAAAATGTCACTTTGGGTACTATATAAATAATTATAATATTTTCTAAGAAGTGCGAAAGTGAATCTTCCCAATATGGTCAGGCAATGGACATTTTTACAAAAACGTTCTTTTGTATGGATCCCCATCAAAATTTGGGAGGATGCACAAGTTCTTGACATCAAATGGTGGTACAACCATCTTGGTAGTAGTAGAAACGTCGGTATTGGTTGTTAGTGTCTCGTCTAAGTTTCAATTTGATACATTTAAGGAAATAAGTTTATGTAGTAAGTCTAATTCTTTTGTACTTGAGTTAAAACTTCGTGTAGGAGTGTCTAAATCTAAGTCTCACACATATTGCTTACAAGATGCAGATGATGCCGTATTGCATTCCTGGAATCTTGATTTGCTTCCTGTTCTTACTTCTTAGGGTGAACTTCGCTCTGGTTTTCCCTTGGAGTTGGTTCTTGATTTGGATAGTGGAGAAACGCTTGAAAACAATGATGATTTTCTGAACGACTCCTTCCACTATCCTACTGATTGCGTCAAACACTTTCAAACTCGCTTTTTAAAAACTAATAATTTAATTTTTGAAAATACCTTTAATAATTTTTATATTATAACTACAAAGTAAAATATATATTAGACTAAAAATAATATTGATTGATAATCTATTTATAATAAAAATAAATGCTGACATCGATGGACGATGGAGTCGGCAAGTCATTGTTCTGTAACTTGCGCCATACGCGCTGAACAGATTACTTCAAACATTTTGCGCGGAAAATTCGGGCTGTTTGGAGAGTTTGAAGTATTCGCTACGTTCCCACTAGTAATCAGTGTTGTTGGTGATATGATAGTAGCTGCTGGGCTTTCTTAATTATAGTCTCAGTAGCGAACGTTAAAAAAAAAGAAAAGAACGAAAAATGTGAACAAGATGACTCTTTTTTTGTCACGTAAAAATATAGCTCTACTCAGTGACCTAGATTATATGCATGTGTAAATTTTTACGACGATGGCTGCAGAAGATTTTGAGAATGGCAAATTCCTGTTCAAAACTGTCAAGCTATTACATTGTGCTTTTTTCCTTCTAAAACTTGCAAGAGGACTTTCCTTTTTTTTGTCATCATTTGGGGCGCATCTTATATTTTTAGCAAGTATCGCACGCGCTTTTTATGCTCTTTAATTTCGTTAAAATACAATCCGTTTGTAGGATCCCATTTTACTGGTCAATCAGTTTCAGGCATTTTTCTCTGTTCCAGTTCATTTTCTTCAACAAATTGCTTTTCCTTTAAGAACGGAACGCCACAAGCATAAGGTTTGTTTTGGTTCTCGTTTTGGAATTGTTCCAGAACCTTGCGCAGAACTATTGCGCACTAGTCCTTAATAGTTCTGTAACCATTACAATTTTACTCGAAACCAAAACACTCCAGAATAGTTAAATGTTAAAAAGTGAATTGTAAATAAAAAATTAGAAATAACACAGGATCAGTGACATTTTGGATTAAAATTTGTGTTTATAATTTTATTTGAATGTACCGATAGTCCTTAATTTGAAAGTATGTATTTTTAAAAGCCTATTTTTTCAGTTTTTCCCACAATAGAACTATTAAATAATTAACTCCGTAATTCTGCTTAATTCCCGCAATCCAGCTGTCAGTTGTCACATCTAATCGGATAAACAAACCATGAAAATGATGGATTGGTGTTGCATCGATTGCAGTAACGATGGTTAAAAAGAGCGCTGTTTGTTCATCATTGATAGATTGATGAAAAAAAGACAAGTAGATACCGCACCAATGCCAACGTTGCTGCAACAGTTGGATAAAAAGACACACGTTTTTGCATATGAATACACATCTTAAGATGCATCAAAGGGTGTGTCATATCGTAAGGTTTTTGTCTTGCACATTCATTAGTCAAGAAGGCAAATACTTTTTGGACTTGGCATTTCCACTGGACTAATAATATCGGTCGTGATAAACCTAATTAAAGAAGATTTTCTTGTGTTAGTGAACGGTTACATTGGATGCAGATATTTGCGATTTTTTAGTCGTGCGATGTAGTACGATGTCGGACGTAAAAACAAACTAACTGATTTAAAGGTGTGCGGTTACATTAACTGCGTTTTAGTCGGTTGATATCGTACGATGTCGGTCGACTAGGCAAGAAGAACAAACGCGTTTGTTTTTCTTGGCGACATCGTACGATATTAACGATATAAAAAGCTGACACCTGTGGCACATTCAATAATAATTGAGAAGATTTTGTTAAAAGATTTATTTAAAATGGACTTAGAAAAGTTAATTTTATGTGTTCAATCGAGGAAGCCCTTGTTGGATCAAACATGTAAAGACTATCATAATAGAGTTATAGTAAAAAAGGGATGGGAAGAGATAGCAAAGAAAATGGAAGAAACAAGTAACACTTATTTGCTCAGAGTTAATTTTAAAATTATTTTCGATACATCTTTCTTTATCAATAATTATATTATGAAGAATACATGCGCATTTAACAATCATATCTGCTTTGTCTGGATGGCATTCTATGTCTTTTTTGAGGATCCTCCATTTGGAACATAGTATGCCAAATGCACATTCAACAATCCTCCTTGCTCGGGATAGTTTATAATTATAAATCTCTTCTTGTTCACTGAGGTTACGACCAGAATATGGTCTCATTAAATACACTTTTAAAGTATAGGCCTAATCGTCCAATAGCACATATGGAATGGTAATATCTGTATTTGGAATAGTTTGATCCTTTGATACGCAAAAAGTTTTCTAATCGAAAATTAGAATATGTTTTCAGTCGTTTAGTATATAATTAAATGCTGAAGGTAAAATTCTAAAGTACTCAAGTTTGGTGGCTTCTTGCTTAATTTCTTGAAAAGGGTTACGTACTCCCTTTCCTGGTCTCTCCTTAAGTACATATTATTAACCCAATATTTTCTTTTTTTATTTAACATCATAAATTTCAAACAACTTTTTTAAGGAAATCTAAATCCATTTTGAATTGAAACTACGAATGCAACGAATCGCAAACAATGTAACCACACAATCGTACGACAAACGGTCTTACGACATCGCACGACTAAAAAATCGCACGTATCCGCATCCAGTGTAACCATTCACTAATTCAAGGGAAAGTAGATTCTGGACCTGGAGCCCAATTCCTGAAACTGTGCGCTGACGCCGCATTCGGTTAGCGACGCTTGGTCGCCAATGCATGCGACGGAAAATTTGTATTCTTGACTACTCTTCGTTAGGTTAGATTCGTGTCGCATGGTGTAACGAAGAGTCTTTGATTATTACAGCAGATCAATCGTTTTCAACCAATCAAATTTCATAAAAAACTGAATTATCGGCTAAAAAATGTCAAAAAATTTACCTGTGTGAGTGACAAATTAGTAGTTTCTATCCATAGACATCATATTATCTAAGGTAGACTCACCCTTTACACGGTACATCCAATACACCTTCTATTTGCACGGGGAAAGGGGAATCATACGTCGCACATAGACATAGTGTTTCGGGATATTTTTAGTAAAAATTATTTAATGACCAAATCAATAACCTATGGGTCTTCGGAATCAAAGGTAAATTTAAAGAAAACATATTCAATTTATACAGGGAATTCAAAAAGTCAATTTATATATTTTCTTATAGATTCAAATAGTAGGTAGCTCAAATTGGAAAAACATTTTTGTTAGTATTTTATTATAATCTTTTTTTTTTAAATACATGAAGAGCAAGTAAAAATATAAAACCATTTATTATTATTTTTACAGGTCGAAAAAAGAATAATTATATTGCGGCTACCTTTTTTTATGAAATAAAAAACTTATTAAAAACAATAAAACAATTTTATTTCAGATACATAAATATACAAATAGGATCTTCCATTACATACCATTTGGGTTGCATGTCACACCTATTTTTGGCATTATTTGTGTAATGGTATAATAAGAGTAGAGTAATCAGCAATGATTTTATAATATCTGGACAAGGCTAAAACACATTAGCTTAAGATTATCAAGAGAAACGTTTCTAATTTGTCCGAATAGAAAAAAAAAAAAACTGAAGGAAGCTTCTTTTGTGACATTTCGAATGTAATTTTAATGGATACTCAATAGATTTATTTAGTGTTATAAGATTATTTGGGATAAAATACAAAATAACTATTTGTGTATTAAGAACAGAAAGTAGCACCTTTGGCTGTTGAGACAGAAAGTCTATCGAAGAAAAAAGGTTTTAGTACTTATGTGTCATTATTTACAGAAAATACTGTTAAATGATTTAAAATATTAGGAAGTCAATTTAATATTTTAGATTGGCTTACATTTTGTTTTAAAATACCGATTAGCTTTCATTTATTTCATTCAAATTAAAACATGCAAGCGTGTGCCAAAGTTACTTTGGTCACGTTGGCGCCAATAATGTAAAATTATGACAATTCGCGAAAAACGTCAACTTTCTAATTAGGCATTCCAACGACCTGTCAAACGATACCTGCCAGTGGGAAGGTCTCGTATATCTAAGGGGGTAGCGACATAGTCTTGCATCTTGGACGCTATTTTTATTCGAAATATCAGTCGCCAATCCTGCCAGTTTTAAAAAAATGCACAAGCAGTTTTTTTAATTAATATTTTTATAGTGTTCGATATAAAATATTTAAATGTAATCCATTATTCATGATTTTACGTATTGTAGATAGAATACATCGTATGTCGCAACCGTCAGATCTACCAAACCTGCCCACTGGCAATTCATTTGTTTGGAATGCCTAATTAGATTTGAATCAAAAGCCTACTTTGGATAGTGATAGTAGAAACAATTTTTTTGAGTGACTTATAACTAAGCCATTGTCCGAACAATAACCTGTGCATCTTTTGACTATCTCTTTACTTTTGTT